TGAATTCAGTCACTGAGCTTGAAAGTGGATTTGATAGTTTGGTTATGATAAGCCCTTTTCTTCAAAATGGTTTTGAAAATAATCCATCCAGAAGAACCCCATAAAGCCCCCCTAAAAACTATACAGCCTTATTCATCAGTGTAATTTATAAGGTTTTTGTCTTTTCTGCTCTTTGAGTAGAGTGCTATGGGATCTTAGGATTCATGTTTCTGCTTTTATATTAATTCCTGCATCATGGGTGCATGCTGAAGTTAAAATTAATAAACCAGGAATGGGAACAAAAAACCCCACTCTAAGTTACCATGAATAAAGAATGTAGATTCTAATCATTAGGTCTATGTGCCTGCAGCCACCAAAACACATCTTCACCAATGTGAAAGATTCTGCAAAACTAAAACAGGTCAGAAGACTTTGGAATTGTTTAATTTTAAAGGTGATCACACAATTTCAGAATTTCTTCCTTCTCATTACCTGTCAAACAGGTACAGATAGCTGTCACTGTATGGGCTGCCTAAGCAAGGCTGAAGACATGAGGGAAGGTGTTAACAGTAAGGGCAGATGTGGTATTGCAGCAGTCTAGACACAGAAACAACAATGCCTTTCAGCCATCAATATTTTCCCTTGTTAAAAATGAAAACCCTTAGTTTATTTCAAAATGGCCATAAGGGAACTTTGTGTGGAACAGGATCATTAACTTTGCAGTGAAATGATTTGAGTACAAGCTGCCTCCAGTGCCTTTTTCAACTTTACTAAAAAACTAATGAGTGGAAAAACCAGGAAGTGTCAAAAATAATTCTGGTGAGATACACAACTGGCAGATATTTCTTTAACTTATTCATTTTACTTACTGCCTTAAGTGATTTTAATACTACAGCTACAATGTTAAGTAGATTTTCTTTCTCATTTGGAGCAAAAACTAGAAATGCCAAACAGAAGCCTAAAGTTTTAGTCTGTTTACTTCTTACAGTTTGGGATGTCAATTTTGGTTTGTATAAAGATTAGGAAGGAAAAAGTGAAGTTGAGTATGCTGCTCAAGAGTATACATTAATGTCTCACACTGGTGTTTGCAATCATACCTTAGTGCAACAAGGAATTCGTAGTAGTATCCATGTGGAACAGGCTTCCTTTGTGCTTCTATTAGCTTCTAATATATGAGTAGACTTTTGACAGCTCAAAGAGTACAATCTGTTTTCTGAAAAGTAGAACAAATTGCTGCACTAAAAACCTACCAAAAAAAAAAATGTATTACATTGTAATGGTGGTGGCCTAACATTTAAAGCATTGCATAGTTTCTTATAAATTCTATCCAGTCACAAGAGCATTTTATATAAAAACAAAAACAAAGTGTCCTTTGAAATAGTTGGCATGTTTGCCTTAAAAAAGTGATAGCTAACAGAAAAATAATCAAATGGGATATTAGCAATTTACATTGCCTAGTTATGAGGGGTTGATTTTGTTTTTTTTTACAAAACACACATGAAAAACCCGTAAATGACTCTTTATTTAGGAAGCAGACTATGCTTAATTTTATAAAGAAGACCAGTAGTGAATTACCTGCTAAGTGTCCAGGTTCCTGCCGAAGTGATCCAAACCCATTGGAGGAAACATTTTTCCTACTGACTGTGCTCCCTCCAGCCTAGTAGCAAGGACCCTGAAAGGCATGATTTGTTCATGCTGCCTGGACCCATAGAAGGATGGCACACTGCTGAAGGATTTTAGAAAATTTCACTGGAGCTTGCACATTCTGGGAGGTCTCATAGAAGTTCATCTTTTTGTTTCTTTTTCTCATCTGTCTTGTTTCCATGTATTGTGAGGATAAGACAGACTCAGAGTAAAGTTAATGTGGAATTATCTCAGCCCTTAGAATTGTTTTGTGGATGGCTACTAAAACAAATGGAAAGATCAGCTGGAAAACACTCAGTTTTTCATAAGGCCTGAAGAACCTTGATCTTGATAGGACTCATTATCACATGAATAAGGAGTACCACTGAGGTACCACTGAGGTACCACTGAGGTATCTTGATATCCTGTAAAAATCCTGAATACACGTATTGAGAATTCCCATGTGCTGTCTTCTTTCCACCCTCATCCTATCCCTCCATAAGAAAAAAGAGTTCAAAGGAGTCAGTCTCTAAGAAAAATAGTAAGCTACAAGATTAATCTTGCATTCTTTCTTTTTCTGGCTCAAGATGTATTTCCTGATCTCTGGTTCAAAAGACAAAGCTCAGAATACACAATGGCCAAAAGCAACAACTTTGCAGAGGAAGACAGAATGAAGAGCTGTAAAGGTCAGAAATTACCCAGTATCTTCATCTAGTAAAAAAGGTGTAGTACAAAAGTGTGTTCACAGCCTTCTGTGGTTGTTTACAGCTCTCCTTCTTGTCAAGTCTTAATGTCAAAAAGATAATAAAAAATTAGACTGACACAATTTTTTCTTGCATTCAGCAGAAACATGAAGTAAATACTTCACTAAAGCAAGGGAGCACATTTATGTTGCAAGAAAACAGATTAGGCTCTGTATTTGCCTTGTAATGGTACCTTTGCTTTCAATGTTTTATCTTCTTTCAGAACAGAATAGTCATTTACAGGAGTTTAAATTTCTGTTGTTTTCTCCAGAGATTTTACTTTATAATATTCCTCTGATTGTACAAGCTCAGCTTAATACATCAGAGAGTGCACTTATGAAATCTGTAGGTGTCATCACGCTGGAGTCAGGGGAGGTCAGCTACTCTGGAGGACAGAAACGAATTTCAGTCTCCACAGGCTGGAAGGAAAGTCTTCAAAGAAGATAAGTAAATTCAGTAATTAAAACTGAAAAAAAAAAGAAAAAAGAAAAAAGCCCTACATTTGACAGAACCAGAAACTACAGCAAACAGAAGAAAACAAGAAATTGCTGGGACATCTTAGAGGAGTAACCAGCATCACTGCTAAAATCTGTAGTGTAAGTTTTTCCTGTATGTGCTGGAGAAATTGTTGATGAGTGCGTGGGTGCTGCTTTTTAAGCTACATGTACTAAACAGCTGAATTCTGTAAGCTGCCAGAATTGGCCTAAGTCACATGAATCACTGGCATTTATGAGAATAAGCAAAGAAAAAAGGTTGTTCCCTTTTAAAGAACCCCAAACAAAGTTTTTGTCTTGAAACTATTTCTGTGCACTGGGGGATGTCACTGGTTTGCAGGGAATGTTTCCTTAAGTAAAATTTGAAAGACTGTCTCAAACATGAACTTAAGCCTGGTAAACAGGTGATGTGCAAACAGAGCTCTTCACAAGGATGAGCCTCTCTTCAGTATAACTATTTTAAGGGTGGCATAACCCCTAAAAATTCAAGATAAATTTGAAATCAGCAAGTTTAGAAGAAATCACACTGAAAGAATGGCCTAATTAAAGCAAGGCTGTAAACTAACTTTGTTTGTTCAATTAAAGAAGCAGGTGCAGACTAAGTAAATTTACTTATATGCAAAATAGGAAAAACTAGAAGATAAAGAAGGTGAAACAATTTACATAAGGGGGAGCTGATTTAATAAAGGCCTAAGTGAAACAGACCATCTGGATGAAGTTGCAGAAACTGTGGCAAATCAAGGCAATTAAGAACTGCAGAACAGAAAAAAAACCCTTACTGGCATGTGACAGACAAAAAAATGACAATCCAGGAAAGCTAGAAGTATATAGCTATAGAAGCAAAAAATATCAATAAAACTTTGAGTTCTAAAGGGGAGTATATATATGGACAGCTGCTCAGGGAATGAAAACAAACACAACAAACATCCTTTGCTTCTCCTGTGTTTGTGCTTAGTATTATGAATAATTAAAAATACTTTAAAACTCATCCTTCTTTTCATTATTAAACTGAAATAGAGTAAGATGCTAATGTTAATGTAGTCCTCTGATTTTATCTGACTGTGGTTTTTAACTACTACTCTCTCAAGCTGATCACTGAGACTTGCACTTCAGGAAGGACCAATGCAAAGTGCCCACGCTGGGAAGGAAGTCTCCTTTCCAGTGATACAGGTTGGGAGTGCCTGGCTGGACAGCATTTGTGCAGGCAAAGCTCTCAGGCCCTGGTGGGCAATGAAGTGGGCACTGATTGTGAGCCTGCAGCGCCTGTGGCAGGGATGAGAGCCAAGGGCATCCTGGCTCTCAGGAGGAGCACAGTTTATGGGAAGGGATTACCTCCCTCTAATCAGCACCTGTTCATCTGCAGCTATACTGCTGCCCATTTTGGGCCCCCAGTAAAAGGATGTGGATAAACTGAAGCTATTCAGCACAGGGCTACTGAAATGTCTGGGGCTTGAGCATCTGACCTGCCAGGGGGCTTAAGGGAGCTGGGCCTGATCAGCTGGGAAAGAGATGGTTGTAGGGGGACCCAACAGCAGCCTCCAGTGCCTATGGGACAGTTATCAGGGGGACAGATCCAGGCTCCGGGTGGTGAAAAGACGTAAGACACTGATCATAAATGAAGTAACTGTATACCAGGGCAGACTGTACACAAGGGAACATTTTTTCACCATGAAGACAGCCAAGCGAAAGAGCAGATCCAGGCTCCGTCTCCTAGTGCAGAGTTTTCAATATCTGACTGAATACTGAAATAGCAACAGACAACATTGATTTAACCAACATTGATTTGATCCCACAGTTAATGTTGATTGAAGCAGGAAACTGGACTAGAGACCTTGAAGTCTCCTCCAACACAGATTTTCCTATGATCCTGTGAACATTAACTAATGTTGCACCACCGTACACTACAAACTGTATCAGACAGTAATGCACAGATAACAGAATGAAAAAAATATTATTATAGGATTAAAATAAGCTGCAGCTCCTTTTTCACTGTTACCAACATATATAAGCAATAACTTGTAAAATAAATAAATTGTGAACAGATTACGAAGAAACTCCAAATTAAGTTTACAAAAACATTCTGAGATAGTGTACTTCAAAATCTCACCCACTGCTGCCATTTAGTAGGCATGAAAAACTCTTCAGGGAATAGAACAGTCAATGAAGAAGCAGTAGAATAAAAATTTATTTTCTTTTTCTCATAATTTTTCTATTTTAGTAAAATGAGACACTCTACCACAAAATTCTTTTTAACAGATAGAGACAGGCATGAAAGTCAGTCACCCAGAAAGCTACGAATGTGGCAGAACAACAAATTATAAAATCATAAACTGTTATTAGGCTACTAATAAATAAGCATTGGTAATTCAACCACATAAATATATAATTTAACTGTGTGTGCTTATATATACATTTGTTTTTATAAGGCTGAACAATTTACATTTGCAGAACACTTGCATTTTGCCAACATCTAAAGTACATGTATTTACAGAAAAAGAGATGTGCAATACAAAAGAAACCTCCTTGAACTGTTCATTTTAAAATTCCAAGGGTAAATAATGTAAAACACTCCAGAGAACAATGACAGGTCAGAACAAATTATTTTCAGTGTTTCCTCTTTAAGTCTATGAGATGTTAGGCTCAGCACATCAGACCTTGAGATTGCTCTTTTGAGACAATAGCCTACACTCAGGAAAGAGCACTTTCTCTGGATTTGGTATTTCTCTCTGGAAGCCAGACAGGTAAAACTTGGACATGGTCAAACCTACTAAGTACTTGAAGACTTTGTTTAAACCTGCAGGCAGGTTTCTTGTAACCCAGTTGCAAATCCTCTGGGAACTATCTCAGTCATCCTGGTAATTTCAAAACTAAAGACAGTGGTGTTTACTCAAATTAAATCTGATAGTCATTGGATAAGAGCAGAAATTATCTGAAGAGCAGGGATTTAAACTTAGGATTTCCTACTAAAACATATAAGGTATCACAAATGTGGGGGTTTAGTTTTCAGTTTAAGACACCTAAATGCATGTTTGTAGTGGTGAGTTCCATATCTAAGCTCATGCTATTATCACTGTTTGGTTCTTTAAACAGACACTTTCAAGTGACAGGGCCACTAAAGATGCTTCAAGGTATCAGAGGCATCTACATGAAGAGAGGAAATGTGACACAAGACTTAGAGAAGATCTGCAGTCCTTTGGGGTAACAGCTAGATCTCCAGACCAAAACACTTTGTTTCATAGATTAGATATCTCAACCACATGGAGACATGTAAAAGTACAAGTCTACCTTTGCGCATTTTCATCTTGACGCAAGTCCCCTCTTAGTGAAAAATCTCCAAGAAACAAGAGACAACAATCTAGCAAGTATCCTGATCACAGGGGTTATTGTGCACACCAAAGCTGCCCTATTTAACTCTGCACTAAGCAGATAAGGAGGGCCCAGCTGAGCAGTTTACAGCACTTTTGCAGAGAGATGTGTGTATGTGCCTGGATTGCTGCAATGGCACTGCAAGGGGAACTCTCAATCTGCCTCAACAACTTCAAAGCGGTGCAACGGTTCCAAATCCCTGTCAGAGTCTAAGTACCATGTAGTTGTGTCATCTCTGGATACAAAACCTTCTCTTTCTGTATGCTGTGAAAAAACATATTTCAAAAATCATGTCTCAAGTGAGCAGTCATTTCAAAATTCACCAAGGATGAATAAATCTCCCAAAATATCCATTGCTTTTTTAGTGGCCTAGAGAGCTTGCTGGTGAGAAAGTGCTATGAATAAGAAGAAAATATGTGTCCCTTTTTTGCCTGAGTTACACTACTAACAACAAAAATACTTTTTGCCAATCAATGAACAAATTTGGTATGCAATCTAGGGTTGAAACTTTTTTTTCAAATAACAGGCTTGAAACTACACATTTTGCCATTATAAAGATGTCAGTATCCTTCTGCATTTTGTGTCTTTTGGTTACTTACTATATTTGAATGAAGCTTTTTTGAAAAAATTAAAATTATTATATCAGTTAGATAATTGTGCATTTTGTTTATTCCTTTCCTTTTTGTTTTTGCAATCAGGCTTTCAGTGCTGTGGAGGGAGAAGGAAGAACTGATCCTCCACCTGAATGAAACAAACAAAGAATCAAGCAGCAACAGAAATGGCACAGTTCCTGAGTGGCTACCAAACTTACACACTGACTTGTTTTCTTTAGTTTGGCTAAACTTATCTGATTTTTCTCATGTGACTAGTCAGAAATGCTTGTTTAGCAAATCAAGCATTTCTGTTGGAAGAAAGTTAGCTAGAAGAAAGCATTAAAAAAAGATTACCATATAATGTCAAATAGGAAGTTTAAGAATAAGAATGGGGGCCAGTGTCTTAACTAAGAAACACTCTCTGGGGAGCCAATTCACCATCAAAGCTTTTTAAATATCAATGTATTTTACATATATATAAAGAGAAGAGGTTTATTACAAAATAAATGCATTCAAATTAACAATATACCGGTGTTTCAGACAATTTTCCTGACATAAAAATTGATTGACAAGTTCAAGGGGAAGGACAAGGACTAATGCTCAAAATGTTTTGCATTTATAGTGAATATACACTTCTAGGAGACATAATAAAACTAAAATCTTGTTTATCTAACAGAAAAACAGAGCAATTCATTATAATAGTTATCCATTAGATTTATCAAAGACTATGGTTCAGTTAAGATATTGTTGAGTTCACACTTTAAAGACCTTTTAAGCCAATTTCTGCTAAAATATGTTACTTTAATTATTACTATGTATATAATACCATCACACAGAAAAAAATCCCATTAAATATCAGATATTATGTAAATATATCAAGAGGGATTTTAGAAATATTCATTAATTTTTAACAGAAAGGTTTAAAATAACTATTAAATGAGTTACACTTCTCTGAAATCATTACTCAGCTCAGAGTGAATTAGGCCTGTTGTACCTAAACTTGTGCATACACAAGTAAAGCCAAGCAGCATAAAATGAATTTAAGAAATTTGTGAAACTGAGCACCAGGTTTTATTTTGCTCAAGTAATGACTCATTTGATTATCAGTAACGAAGTCTGTCCTGTAAGATTTTTTACTGAGAAGTTATCAAGTTTAAAATTACCATTTTTATTTCAACCAACCAGACACTGTCTCAAAGTCATAGAGAAACTACACAACTCTTAAAGGAGAGGCCTTAGTCTCCTAGCTTGGAAGCTCTACACACATACTATGACTGTACATTAAAATTCATAGTGTTTATTTCAAACAGCTCCTGAAACAACTTTGTTCCATTTTCACTGTGTGGACAAACACCAAAACACTCTTTTCTATTACAAGAAATAGCATTTATTGAAAATGGCACATGGATTATTACATTTTTTTCTATATTCAGAATTGGAAATAAATTGCATTATTTCTGCAACTGCTGTATAGAATAGTAGTATAAAGTACATGTTTTTCAATAAGGATAATATCACTGTCTAGCTCAAAAATTTTCCAGCGCAATCCCACAAGAAATGCATAGTTAAAAAGTAGGCTGCTTGTTTTAATCAATTTGCATTTGACCTGAGTTCAAAAGAACACTCACTCTCCACAAATATAAAGAAAACAAAGGGAATTCATCTGAGAGCTGAAGAATAACTTGATCAAGATTCTTCAAAAATTTGATTTTTTCTTCTCTTCCATAGTCTGAGCTTGAAATGGTACTTTCTTCTGTCTCATTTTGAAGAAGTTGTTCCAGAATCATGCACAAAAGAAAAATATTTTCATACTGGGCAATGTCATACACAGACTGGGCCTGAGAATAAAAAAAAATCAGTACATAAGTAGAGTGTGAAAACATTTCTGCAGGCTAACATGTCAGATGACAGTTTAAGGAATACTGTTAAAATTTGCAGTATTATTTATATAATCAGTACACCTATACATTCAGTATGATTACTTCTAAAAAATGTTTTCCTTTTTGTGGTAACAGTCAAGCCACTAAGACTGCATCACACTACCAAATGAAAAGTCAACATAACCTCCTCTTCATGAGAGAATTTGCTTTACCTAATTATCCACAGGCTGTGACATACCATAGTGATGTACAGAAAACCAACTACAATAACAGTTTTGTTTGTTTTGGGCATATAATTAGAATTGGTGGATTTCTGAGAAATGAAATAACAAGCAAAAAAGAATTTTTTACTCCTAAATATAGACACTCATCTATTCAAGTGACACCTCTAAAAAGCAAATTAAAAGTCAAAAATCTCAATCAAAATGCATAAGCCTGTTCTGAGCCACCTAAAGTGGAATATTCAGTTTGTCAAATAAGCTGGAACAAGGACACTGACCAAACTAAAACTTTCTTAGAACTCTTACAGCTTTATCCAATATAAATTTACCTGTCCTTTATCTAGAAACTGGAAATTTACATAGAAGCTTTCTGTACATAGGAAATAACTGGTAAGATACAAACTTGAACCTTGAAGAATTGTCTCTCTGGAATGAAATTTTATGTCCTTAACAGTAAAATCTACTAATAATATGAGATGACCTTGCTCTGAAAAAGGCTGCTATTACAGTAGGTAGAGGAACAGAACTGAAAGGTAAAATCATAGCTGCTAAAATTTAATTATATATTTTAGAAAATGGACCAATAGCTCTAGCAAATCTAAAGAACTGTTTAGACCTGTGGTACAAAGCCAGATGGGTCAGAGCTTCAACATGGGTCTATGACAAGACATCAAACCATTTTCCTCAGTCTAGATTACAAACTGTAAGACTTCTCAAAGTGTGAAATCTATTATACAGTCATTGGTTTCACAAAATATATATATGGGGTTTTTTTGATTCCAAGAATTCTATTCTAGAATCTAAGAAAAAGACAGCACTTTACCTTCTCCAGCTAAAAATGAGGAAGATGTTGGCTCAGAGATTGCTTATTTTGCTTTTTAAGAGAGCAGTTATTAAGCCTAAAATCTCTGTTGAAGCACTCTGGGGTAATGGTTTCAGGTAGACTCCCACCTCAGAAACAAATTTAAGACAGCACAGCCATCCTGTTGCAAAGGCTCAGTGTAGAAAAAGAATTTTGCTGAGTTCTCTAGAAATCCTGAAATATAGATTCATTACCAAAACATATCATTCCTAGCCTTGCATACTCCTATTCTGTCTCCCTGGACCCTGCTAAGAAAAATGTACAGTTCAGAAGCTGCTGCTAAGAATTCAGTGTTGACATTCTTATCAGAACAGAGAGTGAAAAATGAAAAAGTATTACATTATTTAATAAAAGTATATTAAGTATCTGCATATTTCTAAAGTTCAGTTCTGCCTATCAAACTGCCTAATTTGGTAAAAGCTCCTTCCAAATCAAAGGTAATATGACTGTTTCTTCAAATATTGAACATCCAACTCTAGAGCAATCATGACTTCACACTGATTGTTTTGACTGTTAACTAATAGTAAGGAGCTAAATATATTTACTTTGCTTATTTGACTAAACTACAGCTTTCAAAGTTGTGAAAGTACGTGTTATTAATGGTTTATTGAATTTCTAGGAAATAGATGATTCTAAAGCCCTACAAAGTCTGCTCCTAACATTTTCAGTGTAGGGGTCATCTGACCAAACACAGGCATGAACAAGCTGAGACAGTTATCCCTTGTTCCTGTTTCAGCTGATGGAGGGCAGCAAGGGGTGGCCCAGAGCTGTTTGAATGTAGATGCCTATTGCCATTTCACACACCCCAGGGCAGCAGCTGTAAGCCAGGAGGAATACCTTAGGTGTGCTATTAGACACTTGAGCTTTTGCAACTGAGCAGTTCCCAGGATCCTTCAGCAGGTAATTCATCCCACTCCAAACTAGAACCACAGATATACCATGTCCTGGAAGTCTTTACAGTGGTAAAGTGTGACTGTGCTCAGAAAAAAAATGACTATGTAGACACATAAATGGAAGTTCTGTGCTCTTAGTTCCTGCAATTTGGAAATTAGACATACAACATTACAAACAAAAATTCTTTGTTTGACTCTGAAGTGTTTGCCTTGAAAATTCACTCCTTTAGATGAGTAATCAATATAAAATGTTTTAGAAAGGCAAATTATATCACTTCACTTCCTCCCATAACCTCAGGCTCTTCCAAGCAGTTAAACAATTGTGTTACTTTCAGTGGGTCTTAAAAGGTGCAACTAATTGCAGCTTAGTAAACTATCTGATTATAGATAATAGGATCCACAAGTTAACTAATTAGTTTCCTCTACAAATACTACTGCATTAAAGGAAAATTGCTTTACTCACACAGAACTGATATTGAAAAGAAAAGGTAAGTATGATAGCTAGGAGAAAATATTTTTTGAGATAATTATTTTTCTGGAGACAAATATACTTTGAAATATTGCATTATGTAACTGAGGGGGGGAAAAATCAGTCTATAACATTTTCTGGCTCAAGGCTTATTATTAACCTTTCCAATCCATTTAATAATCTGAACAAAATGTGTCTCTATTTATTTTGTTAGATGTCATCTGTAGCACTGATTGATGCAACTAGTACTAATACAAATTCATGCTGCATAATTGGTAAAGGGATGCTTTTATTGTTCCCTAATGGTGCCGAGTCAGATAACAGGCCTATTAATCTTGCCCACCAATGTGTGTGAGTGGGTAGCTGTGCATGTACGTGTACACACCAGAAAGTCCTGAGGGTGCATCTATAAAGCAAGTCTCATATATATATTTACATATATATATATATATATATATATATGCTGCTATTCCACAATATATTAATACTAATTTTAAGTAACTCTAACACTAACTCTGCTTTTCAGAATAAATTTTAAGATAATCAGACAGGTAAGCAATATGGATTTTGGACGCTATACTTTATGAGATCAGTCCTCATCAATTTATACAAACAAACATTTTAGGGTTAAACAATGTTTAAAAATATTATTTATATAAAATTGAGCTTTATGTAAGATGGAAACAAGGCTTACAAGGATCTCCTGGCTGGATCTGATGATCTGCTAATCAAAATTAATTGTATTCACATAACCAAGTTCAGAATGCAAGAAGTATCAAAATGTTTGGTTGAAATTAATTCTCCAAGCTTCTTGTACATTACATGGCGGCCACCTGGAAATGGACACCAATTTGCCACATAATTGAAAACAGGGGAGAAGTTCTCTTACCTGTCTTCATTATAATTCTATCATAGTCAGTACTAATATGTTAAAAGAAACTGCTGTGTTCCAGGTCCCTGGCCCTTTATTATAGTTCCTCTTTGCAAAAACAAACAAACAAACAGATGAGGGGGCCCCAGATCAAATTCCAAGCTGCTGCTGTCTTAATGGACAGATTTGGAGTCTTGATAAACAGATTAGGAAACAGTTTCCTAATTGTACTTAGAATATTTTTGCTTTCTTGTCTTAATGGTTTATGCACATTTTTAAAATTTATTTAAATGTCATTAGTAACAGCAATATAAAACAAGCAAAGAAATTGAATGAATTATCTACAATTCTTATATCACCAGCCACAAGCCATAGTCCCAGTGATGCAGCCTGTTGGGCTTGGGATTTTCACATGCAGGAGGCTGATGACATTTTCTGAGTAGAGGAAAGTAATTTTATTCCTTTTACATCTCAAAGTATGTACAGAACAGAGACAATACTTTACCAGTGCAAACAAAAAATAGATGAAAGAGAGTACATTCATGGCAACTGCTTTCATGCAGCTCAGATGCTTATGCAGAAGTGTCAGCAACACCTGCATGCTCTCTGGAATATAGGAGGAATGGTACTAATTTGGGAAAACTTCTTTTTTTTTGGTTTAGAACAGAAGATTTATATGCTGAAACTTCTGACAAAATGAAAACAATTAAAATTAATTTCAAAGCATCATTACATTTGATTAGAGACAAAAAGCTTTCCTCTTTTTCTATCTCTATAATTAACTAACATCTATTTAGGCTTTTTAAGTCCCATGGCAATACCAAGTTTAAATATAAGTTTCAACAAGTAGTTCTACACAACAAAATCCTATATAAAACACTGACATACCAATATAAACTTTAATCAAACTCAAAAGAAAAGTGTTTAGAAAGTAATAAAATTGACACTTCTAGACAGTTATTTTAGCAGAAAAGTATTCTGCCCAAATCTTCCCAATCAATCATATCCTTACAGTTTTGCTTCTTGTAATTTTTATCTTGCAAGTTTTGCCTTTTCCATTTCTTGGCAAACCTCTACTATTCATCAGGGATATAACTTTTTATGCTAGTAAAGTGTCTTTTTATGTTTCAAGAGATTCTAAGTAAAATTTCACTGGAACATCAAGTGATAAAAGGTAGTATTTCTCCTCTTTCACATGTGTATTTGTCAGAGAAGCATAAAGGGTAGACCAAAATACACAAAAAGAACTGTTACAGCTTGGCTAGTTTTGCCTTCCAATGGAAGCACAGGCAGCAGGAATTGCAGCAGCATCAGCTTCTGGGCTGAGACTACTTGCTTACGGAACATAAAAGATAGAACAGAACCAAATCTGCCATCAAGCCATTTCCAGGAAAAATTCCCCATGGCCTGTCTGTCCCCTCCTCTGGCAAGAAAATGTAGCCAAAGCTCCTAGAAATTTTCCAGAGAAGGTAGAAACAAATGAACACCACCTCAGCAAACACCCCAATGCCCCTTGCTTCCGTGCAGGTGTCTACTAAAGGCAAGTACACATGTAGACTGAATTCTGGGCAAGAAAGTTAAAATTCATGGGCCAGGAGGCCACAGAGCAAGTGGAAGCTGATGTCCCACAGGAAGATGGAAG